GTGACCTTAATGCTAAAAGAAGAATACATATTACACGTCTACATTTCTTTAAAAGTTCATTTTCAACTCCCAACAATTAACACACTCTATAAAGAATTTAATAAAAATATATATCATGGTATGCTAAAATAAAAATGGATGTTACCCATAGTATGGCTCTTTCATTTGAAAGAGAAGTATTTGGTACTTTCCACATTGTAAAGATATTTGATTAACATGCTAGCAATATTTTGGGCAGAAGCTGGTGCAGGGGAAAATAATTCTACCCATTTTTAGTAATAACTGCGTAAATGAAAAGTTTCTATTTATTTAAATGATTCTGCAAGATATACTCCCAACATTCCCCAAAGCTATGTAGTCAGGATAGTGATGGCTAGCAGGAAAATATTTAAAAGCTCCTTCTTCTTTTTAATCATGTATACTTAACAACATATATGTGTTATGTAAGGTATGTGTTCTATATTATATGATATATAAAATGTAATACTTTTAATATATTTATATATTGTATTTGACATATATAACACATTTTTACGTACATAAAATATAACATATGTGGCATATTTCTCTATATAATCCCTCTCCAATCATGCCACTCCAAAAAGAGGATGGATACACAGATACTGACACAGTGTTAGGAAAACTGCAGTGAAAAAAACTATTTTGCTTCTTTGTTTCACAAAACAGCAATTTAGTAAACCTATTAAAATTGAAATATTATAGTGCTAGTTTTTTTAGAGTTATAAATGGATAACTACACTAAGTTTTCTGGGAGCATAGATGTAATTCTACCATATTTGTCTCTGATGACAGCACCCTTCTCGTTTTCCTAGATTGGTTCAGAAATCAGAATATAATTTATGTAGTTAAAATCATAAAGTTGCATGTTAAACAAAAACTTTACAGAAATGCCATGTAGTAGCTTTCTTTCCCAAGTGAAAACTTTGATAAAAGCCACTTTGTTTTAAAATTAAAGAAGTGGTGGACCACAGAAATTAAGAAATAAGAAATTTCTCAAGTTCTTAAGTTTTATGTCATGAGTAATACAATGTTTTGTGTTTTTTTTATTAAATGTATTCATTATTTGAGAGAGAGCGAGCGAGAGAACGCGTGCACACGCAAGGGGAGGGCAGAAGGCGAGAGGGAGAAAGAGAATCCCAAGCAGCCTCCCCCAACGCGGGGCTGGATCTCGCTGAGATCATACCCTGAGCTAAATTCAAGTCGCACGCTTAACTGACTGAGCCACCCAGGTGCCCCACAATCTGTTTAAAAACAAGGGTCTAAGTGGTTAGTGATCGTGACCAAAAATGCAGGTGTTGCTACCATACAAGCTCCTCAGATTATTTAATGTGCCACCTGGTACCACTTCTAACTCACAAGTCATGAACCTGAGGTTCAATAAATGGTAAACTGATGCTGGACCTTGTTAAGTATTGTTTTTACAAAATCTTTTTTGATCACTGATAAACATTTGAAAATTTCCTAAACTTGGTACCATTTGAGTACTACCACCTGGAAGAAACACCACTACTGGATGCTATCTGCCAAGGGTCATTAGGACAAAAGAGGAGTTCCAGGTTCTTTTTCTCCCAAGGCTGTTTAAGGCAGCAATTAGAGTTTACATTATGGAAAGGAGGGAGGTGGGGGGAGTAAAAGGGCACTGAGGGCCAGTGAAGGCCTATGAATATGCTCCAAAGGAAAAGATGAAGTGAAAAAACAGATACACTTGACCACTCAATCTAAACACTTTTCTAAAAATTCTTTCTGATACTCTTTCTTTCACTGATTTTTTTAAATTGTGCTTTTAATGTTTGTTACTTTAATAGGAAATGGGTAGGCTTAAAATTATACTTCAAAGCATTAATTTTCGCAGCAAATAATTGGTTATATAAAAGCATGGCTAAGTTATGGTATAGTGATATATTTGAGATTTCAGGGAGCATAAGAATGATTCGATGAACACACAACAGTTCTAAGACAGACCCACTCATTTCTTCAGCACAAAACCGAACTGAATTGTTTCAAAGGACCCGAGAAGTAGATAATTCTGTCAGTCCTAAATTACAAAGGTCTTGCCTTTACTTCTCATGTAGATAATGTTTATATGAGCTAGGTTTTCGATAACCACTGTTTAGGATTCCGTTTTCACTTCTATTATCATTAATTGATGAATATTAGCTCCATCAAAAATAACAGCCAAGTAAAAAGAGTTCAGAAAATGTACGGGGAAATTCTTGGTCATCTATCAGACACAGCTTGATCTTAACTCAGACTATTGCATATTTTCCAGAAAGTTTATACCTAACACTTCAGCATGTAAGTATAAAACTAGAGTGAAAAAATAAATTCAGACAATGGCTTTTGCTGAATATTTTCTGTTCTTAAATAAAGCTGTTGAATCACAGTGCAACCAAAGACACCAAACAGGCAGGATTTAAAACACAATCTATTTCTCCAGGAAAATAAAATACATTATAAATATGTTTTGATGAGAAACTGAAGACATCTTTCTAAGAAGCTTTCTATATCATAAAGCATATTCTTTCTTAAATGTTCACATACATTTTTCAATACATGGATTGTATTTTGATTGCATCCACATTTCTACATCTTAAAAGTATGACTGCTATATTTCATCAGGATCATTAACTTAATTTCTTGAAAATTAAAATTTTCAACTTCAGTGAAACTTAAGTCTTAAAAGTAACTTCCATTTTGCTTCCAAGTTTTGAGAAAGTATATATAATTAATTCTTCTAATCTACTTACATACAGAACATATGAACTAATAAATCCATGTCATAGATTTGACTCGGGCATTATGATTCAATTTCCTAAATGATTTCAAAAATATGCTTATAAGTATTTTATTTATATAATAAAGAAAATGTCATTAATGGTTAAAACTTCCTCTTTTTTCCCCCTGAATTTAATAAAAATAAACTTCAAAAAAAAAGTCATTTCAGGAAACAAATTTTAAAATAATAGTAACTTCTCATGTCTAGAACTTATAGCCAGATGAAATTAGCATCTCATCAATATTCATTATAATAATACCGATATTCAACCATATAGACAGTATATGGTATTAAAATGATTCACTGATACTTCATGAAAAACACTACCATAGACACCAAGTTTTATATATATATGCATATATATGTATATATATGTGTGTGTGTGTGTATATACATATATATATATGTAACCTTTTAATGTTTCTTTAATTTCCTCTTAAAACAGAATTCTCTTTTTATTCATATACATTTCTGATTTGACGTCCTGATAGTGATTTGCACTATCCAATTGTCCTTAACAAAGATTTCAAATGATAAAAAGACAATAAGCCCCCAAACCACACATATATATATAATTCTCTTTGGTAAGAAATAAGCACCTTCACTGCTAAGGTATTCTGTTATCACCTTCAAAATTTGTCACAAAACTACCAACACGATAAAAAGGACATAGAAGCAGTAGGATATGGATTTTCACTGATTCATATTTGTAGTGCACCAGTAGGTCTTAAAAAATATGTGAGACAAAATCAAAATCACACTATGGTATTTTAGCTTAGTATAAATTCTTAATTAACTTCGCCAGAAATTCTTCACATATAAGATATTCCATTAGTTGGCCGTATGACAACATGAGACTTTCTGCTGAACACAATATGGCTAATAAAATTAAGTTGACTTTAACCACATGGTCATTTAAAGAAGACAATTAGATTAGCCAGACACAAAACTTAAAAAAGCAGCCTTGGGAATAACTTTTTTCCTACAGCCATTACCAAAGCCTTATTGAACTGATTAACTATGCAAGAAAAGCAGCAAAGAAAAGCTGAAGAAAGGGCACTAACATCACTACTTGGCTTACCTAAGAACTCATAAAAGTAAAAGACTCTAACCATTTTATTTTATTAGGTCCTATAATATATAAATTCTGCTACTTTTCTGCAGCTTGATTAACATTAATCATTTCATACTTTTCCTTTTTTGTACCATCTAAAGAAACCTTAATTCTAGCTTCATATTTATTTAAAAAAAAAAACCACATTAATCTGGAATATGCCCATTGGGTTGCAAAACACCATTATCCCCAAATAAAAGAACACACAGAAGAATTCTAGAAGGAAATTACAATGCACAAAATTCTATAATACGATCAGCCCCTGATGACCATCAATCTCACCAGATAGTGTTCTACCTTCTAAGTATATTTAATGGTCATAGGCCCATTGCCTGATGGGATCTGTAGTTTCTAAAAACTGTGTGAGTGATAGTTACTGACTTTTTTCTAAAACTATGAACTTATAGTGGAAGATATGTTGCAAATATCATTCTACTTCATTTTGTAGGGTTGATCAGTTTCAGCCCTGATATTCTAAAACCGCATAACCTATCATCCAAAATGAAAATGCATGTATATGAATATGTATATATATATATTACAAAATCCTTGGGCAATGATACGTATAATCTGTGTTTTACAATGTTGTAAAATAAGAATTATGGTTCTTAGAAGGAAAATGCCTGCCAAAAGTATCTATTTATATGAAAATAATACTTCAAATATACATGAAAACTTTTCATTTGAATACACTGGAACTCTCTCTAGGCACTTCAATATATATTATGCATATTCATACCTTTACTGGGCACCAATTTTGTGTTTTTCACTGTCATATCTTTATGTATTGATATATATATATATAATATTATCCTTCCCTATATTCAGGAATTCTAAAATTTCTTTGTGTATTTATCACCTTCAGGCATCCATACTCAACACCGGCCAGCAAATCCCTAAATGACTTCAATCTCTGTATCATACCCATTTCGTGGATAAAGAGTTACTCAGAGCCACTTAGATAATGCTTTCCTAAACCCACTTAGAAAAGAGAAAAAAAGCACTTCCTCTGAACTGTAGAACCTTATTGGGTCCACGATCACCTCACAGATATCCAACCTCCACCCCATTTCCCTTGACGGCACCTACCCTAGTGTTGTCATGGTGACGATGGTATACCAGAAGGCAGCAGGGATGCTGGTGAACTTGCTGGCCGAAGACCCCTTCTCTGCGTAGAACATGACTGTAGCAAAAATGATGATAGCCATGGTGAGCGAGAAGAGCAAGAAGCCCAATTCTGAGGCACAGCTCTTCAGCGTGTACCCCAGGATGCGCAGGCCTTGAGAGTGGCGGGAAAACTTAAAGATCCGGAAGACCCGGAAGACCCGGAGCGTGACAAAGGCTCCACTGACATCCTCATTGTCTGTCATCACCAGCCCAATGTAGTAAGGCAGGATGGCCACCACGTCGATGATGCTCATGACACTACGCACAAAACGGTAACGACTGGGTGCCGCGGCCAGGCGAAGCAAGTACTCAACTGTGAAGATCATGACGCAGGCTGTATCCAAGCAAAAGAAGGCCACCGCATACCGCTCCCCGCAAGGCAGTTCTTTAATGTGCCCGGGACTAGAGCCGCAGGGCACTGTCTCTACCACGTTAGCGATGACTGAGACGGCAATGAAGAAGCCTGTCACATAGTAGAACACCAGGGCCATTGTGCTGGTGTGTGGGTTCTCAAACGCCCGCCACACCCTCTGCCGGGCGGTCATCGTGGGCAGCGCGCTCTCTCCCGTGTTGTCGGTATCGGCGTCGTCCTGCAGACGCTCCGCGTTCTCCCGCCTGCGATCCTTGTACTCCTCGTAACAGCAGTCCCCGATAATCTCCGGGATGAGGCCAAAGAAGGCCAGTTCCTCATCATACGCAGAGATGCACTCATGGCGAGGGTAGTGCAGCTTCCCGGTGCGGTAGAAATTCAAGATATGGCGGAAGATGTCTGGGTCACGGTCAAAAAAGTACTGCTGAGTTTCCGGGTGGTAGAAAAAGTCCCTCTCCGAACTGCCCAGCAGAGTGTCCGGGTAGCGTTCCAGGGTGTCCTGCCACGTCTGGAAACGAGTGCCACTCACATTGAGCACAATCAGGGCATCTTGGGTCCTTTTTCTCTCCTGCCTTGGGGGAGCCGGCATGGGCCCCGAGGCCACGGGCATCCAGCCAATGGCTGCTGCCCTAGCAAAGGGCAGCCACGCGGCCACACCCGCCGCCATGGTTCCTCGAAGCGGAGGCACGAAGGGCGATCAGGCTTCTACAGCGGGTCACAGTCGCCACACTCACTCGCTTCCTGCCGTCGAACCCAATACTGAGAGCTGCGGTCTGGAGGTATCACTCCTACTCCAAGGCGGGGCTCCTGGTGAAGTCACAGTTCTCGGAAAGGTAAGTTTCCCTCTAACGCAGGGATTTGTAAGAAGAAAAAGTATGTGTATATGTACAACGTCCTTACAATCACACCCAGCAGAACCTCACCAGATCTCTTCCAGCAGCTGGGCCAGGCCACTCCTGGCACGAATAAGTACACAGGTGACTTTAGGCGCAGCAATTTCTTCAGACAGGTGTCTGATTTCTCCCCTGACACAGTCCGGATAATGTAGGGCCAGTACGCGTCGTGTAGGACAGAGAAAACGAGGGACAGTCACTCAGTGGTGTTCTTCTGATGAATTCGAGAACCCTACCACCTTCCCTTACAGCTCTTCCAAACCTCCCCTTTCCAAGTGGCCCTTCCCGCCAAAGGAGTCTCAGAAAGGCGACCTGTTGTTGTAGCTTCCGAGATGCGGTCACAGCCGCTGCCCCATATCTCTTTGGGAGTCCGGTGGCCGCCTCCACTCCTTGTGCCGTATTTGCAGAGATGGAGGTGCTGTGGCGGTGGGCACGGTGGGGGGCGTGAAGACAGATCCGCCTCCCCCTCGTCTGCAAGCACCCCTTGTATCTGCCGAAAGCGTTCGCCCAATGGCCCCTTCACTCTCTTTTCAAGTTCAGCCCAGGTGCAGTGTGACAGTCACAGAAGCCGGGAGCTGGCAGCCGCCGCCGCCGCGGCGGCAGCAGCAGCAGCAGCAGCAGCAGCAGCAGCACCTGCCTCCGCGCAGAACGCGCCTCGCTCGCGGTACATACCTGGCAAAGTGCGCGCTGGGGCTGAGTTGCATAGAGACTTTCTCCTCGCCGTGCACCCGGAAAGGGAAAAGCCGAGAAAGCAGCTCCCGAGCAGCCGAATCCGATGCGCCCAGAGGGCATAAATAAAGCTCAAGCGAGCTCTTCTTCCCCTTCCCCCATTCCTCTGTGCTTCCCTCCTCCTTTTCACCTTCCAAAAGCCAGGCGCAGGCGAGCCGAGCAGCAGCAACAAGTTCAAAAGGTGCGGGGGAGGCGAGAACGGAGGGGACTCGCTCCTGCCAACTTACTGCGCCGCCGCGGTCGCCGGGGCCCGAGCGGGGCGGTGCGGGGCT